TCTTCTTTGTGCCAATTCTGCACTGAGTACTCATAGCCCTCCATATTGATGAGGGCAACACTGTGGATTCTCAATAGATCTCTGTTATCATGATATGGCCTATGCCACGTAAGCATTTCCTCATAGTGTGATCCATCATGTAAGCTTTCTGTGCCGAAGGTCATGTGAGCAGGTCACATGATACCTGAGTTGAATTCTGATTTTGAATTTCTTTTTGAATTCTAGGTTGAATTTCACTGTCCAAACAGAGCCTAAATGCACTGTTTGCTTATCTGAGATAGCAATAAAGGAGCATGTGACTAGTGATGTGAGGTTCCAAAAGTTTTACTAGCAATTGTCTTGCTGCTTGCTCTCCAAATTTCTTGAAACACTTCATTCTGGTATCACCAAGTACAAAGTTGCACATTTCAGTGATGGACATTTCCACCATGCTATCTATGGTCTTGGACCATATATTGCTGACTATGAGGAGCAAGTCTTATTGATGTGCATTGTATGTGGTTGACATCCAAAGTATGTACTTGTTCATCTTTTTAGTCAACTACCTAAACTGATTATGATACAGATGTTTGTTTCATGTGTCAATCTAGATGAGCCAGCTGCTTGGCGCTGTCATCACCATACAGGTGCACTTGTCAAGGAGGGTATCTTAATGCCTTATGGAATGAATATGGCATTATTGGTGAACTCATTGTAAGCCCTATCTTTTGCACTATGTTTTCACAACACCTTAACACTTTATATCAGCCCTTTATAAATAATTTTACTTGGGCTAATATCCATGAACTAATTGTCCCCAATAACCTTCACCAGCTCATTAAAGGGATGTTCAAAGATCATCTGGTGGATTGGATTGAGAAGTACCTATACTAGATACACTTGAAGAAAGATGCTAATCACATCAGAGACCATATCAATTGAAGGTAAGTGGTTCATTTTAGTCATAGGTATACCTATCTAATTAGTTTTGTCTAGAATCATGACTGTTCCAGCCTTTGTTGGTCTTTGGCACTTCTCACAAGGCTGAGGCTTTAAGCAGTGGGCATGCGATGACTCAAAAGCCCTGATTAAGGTATTTTTCATGTATCAGACTACTAATATCTTACTGACATATTGTTATAAGTATACTTATCCACCATTAAGGGGTATATCCCTGCAGATATAATTTAGACATTCTTGAGTTTGTTATCTTGTCTGATATAGTGTAATCACAGAGAATACTCTTGAGCAAATACAAGAGGCACTTGACCAATTTTATCAGTACCAGAAAAATTTTCAAACACTCAATGTGGTTCCTACATTCTCACTCCCTTGCCAGTATTTCCTTTAATACTACCTACTCCTTATTTGACCTTTTGGGGCCCCAAATGATCTGTACTCTTCAATCACTGAAGCTAAGCATATCAAAGTGGTGAAGGAGCTGTGGAGGTGCTTCAGCTGGTATAAGGCACTTAGCCAGATATTGGTCATAAATCAATGCCTCAACAAACTTGCAGCATTGTATGCTGATTTTACTCAATGCATGATGCTCAATAGTACATGCCTTTCTGCAGCCACCCTCAAAGTAGGTAAGTATAATACTATACTATCATTGCACTCTTGCTGATACTCAAATAAAATGACTGCACACACTTAATCTCACAGCACCAGATGAACAAGTTTGTCTGGTTGCCAATGCTTAGGCTGTCAATACCATGGTGGATGACAATGATAACAAATATGCTGAGTTGAAAACATTGATTTTGCTGTTAAATTGGTGACAAAAAGTGAGGAGTCACAGAAATCATTGGGGTTGAGTTGACTAAAGAGAAAGTGTTGCAGAATATTCAGGAGATGTGGGATTGTCAATTCAAGTGCTAATGCAGCAACAGTGTAAGCATGGTTACATTCTAAAGCATGTGTTAGTGTGGTTTTACAGAGACAGGTGTTATATTATTCATGAGGTGTTTTAGCTAACTCCATAGGTGCTTCAACATTAGTGAGTCCATCATCAACTTTATGATTTTTTGCACCAAGTGATCCTAGTGGTATTGGGGGCATGCACCATGAGTATATTCATACATGTCTGATATGGAGAAACAAGCACCCTTGGTTTTATTGCATCTTTGTCAACAAAAATCCGGATCTTGATGGTATGAGGAGTATGAATGTTGCATAAGTACTGTCTTTTTTCATTTACTTACAAGGCTAGAGTATACTCATGTGCAGTTGTGTGGTGGTTTGATACCATCAGAGACTTGCCAAACAATGACACTGAAATGTGGATTGTACAGCCCGCTCATAATGCCAATAACACACCTTATATTTCCATTATTCATATTGATTCAATCTACCGTGCTGTACACCTTATTCCTGTATATGGTGCTCAACTTGTTCCTCCACAACATCAGCACCATCAGACCTATGATGTTCTCTGCCATTTTTATGTTAACAAATATATAGGTCATCACTCCTTTGAAATCACATTTCAGACTTTGTATTTGCTCATAACACTTAAATTCAACTTTTTGAATTTCACACATGAACTTATTTACATGCTTGAACCACTTTCTCACAAGTAGAAAAAGCAATGTTTAAGTTGACTCAAAAATCTTGTTGATTAAAATCAGGAGCAATTAAGTAAAATAATGCTCAATAAGTAATCAGTGAATTACTGATGTAATAAGTCAGGAGTTAGTGGCTTCATTGGATGATATTGATATAATAGATATTAATCGTGACATTGTGTAATCACATGGGTACTTCTCAAGGATCAGCTGTAAATATCTCATTAATTTCCTACCATATCTGCAGTTCTGACTCAGATACTTCAAGGCCAATAGCCAGAAGAGTAGAAAGTGGCAAATCTATGTATATCTTTGGCCCACTTGTTAGAGAAGTCATGGTCAGAGAATAATAGCATGCTGATGATCATAAAGGGCCTGATTAAGGGACAGCCCAGGAGCCTTCCAATATGATATTACTATCCTCAAGTTGCATACAGGGTCCAAGTCTTTCAGCAACTCATACTCTGCATCAAGACCCCGCAGACTGCAGATCAATCTCATTGAGAAATTGTTGATGCCAAAAACCTCCTTAGTCACAGAGAAATTGCTGGCTGGAACCTATGAGGCCCTTCTATGGACATGGTGATATTAAAGTGTCAGAAGTTCAAACCAAATATTATAGCTGCTATACTCAGTGCAATAAGATCAATCAACTGGTTTGCTGCCATGGAAATTTCTGCATCTATTCCCCCTATCCTGCCTACTACAATCCCTCCCATCTCTAAATTTCATCTCTTGCAGCTGGACCCACCACCAAGCCCATCAGCCCTTGTATCTACACATATTTTGGGTTATATCTTAATATATATGTATGTCAAGTGGCACTTAGGCTGGTTGTCATGCTGTTGCAAGGGATATTAACAGATGTGCCAGTGATCTGGGGCTTATCAGCCTGGCCAGATTTATTTATGACTACTCCACACACTTAGAGCCCATTCAGCAACCAGTGTTTGAGCAAAGTTTGCATTTGCGAATCAGCACGGTGTAACCAAGATTCAAGCTGAGTCTGAAAGTAATCGGTGAGCGATTACATTGATTGTGATAACAAGCTATGAATGCCCTACAGCAGCAACTTGTAGTTCCGCTCATTCAACCATAGACACAGACGCACTCCACACAATTTCACCATGTTGCACTTCACCAGTGCATTATTTGTTATGTTGCACTTATCCTCAGTGTACTATTTACTGCTACAATGCAGGTCTTCATGGACAATACTCCCGATGATCCTGAGCCATATCACACCTCAGCCCTGACAGGGCAAGAGTGGGTGATGGAACTTATTCTCGGCCACCCAGATTGCATTCAGTGTGAACTTGGCATCAATCTCCATGTCTTTGAGAACTTGGTACAAGACCTTCACGCCCTTGGTCATGGTGATTCACATTACGTCTCACTTGAAGATTAACTATCTATATTCCTCTACACATGTGTGACAGGATTGACTGTCAGGCATGTCGCTGAACGATTCCAGTGGTCAAATGCCACAATTTCTAAGTACATATTTCGATCTTAGTATATTTCCCACTCGGTCTGATACTAACACTTTTGTAGATACTTCCGCAAGATGCTAGACATACTTTCATCCCACCCTTTTTACACGGAGTACGTCTACCTTCCCACTGCTGATGCACCAGTCTCAAGTGCAATTTGTGACAACCCTAAATGTTGGCCGTACTTCTGTGATGCTGTTGGAGTGATCGACGGGAGCCACATCCACACATTTCCTCCCTCAGCCACTCGCCATCTATACTATAACCGCAAAGGCTTTGTATCGCAAAACTGCCTCTTTGCCTGTAACTTCGACCTTGAGTTTATCTTCATGCTAACTGGATGGGAAGGGTCTGCAACAGATGCACGGCTCTGGGGTGTAGCCAAACATGATGGCTTGGATCTTCCACCTGGGAAATACCTTCTTGCGGACCTTGGTTTCCCCTCATCCCAACAACTTTTAGTTCCTTACCATGGTGTTTGGTACCATCTAGCTGAGTGGGGTTGTGCTAGCGTCAGGTACGACTTTTATTCTCTATGTAGTGTGGCTCTAATAATACAATTTTTAGACCTGTTAATAAGGAAGGACTCTTTAACCTTCGTCACGTGTCTGCTCATAATGTTATCGAGTGTAGTTTTGGTGTCGTGAAGCGGTGCTTTCGCATTCTCTTAGTATCTCCAGAGTACAAGATAACAATTCAGGCTCGCATTCCCGCAGCATTATGCACCCTCCACAATTATATCCGCATTCACGACCCGCATGAAGCACCTCTCCCTCACAGGGCTATATTCAACAACAATCCTACCCATCAGGGACAACCCAGTGATGTTGTTCCTGATGACGATGAAATTGTCGGTGATGACGTAGATGCAAATGTGTTTCGTGATCGCATGGCAACTGCGATGTGGGATGATTATCAGAACATACTATACGAGCACGATTTAGTAGACGTAGCTCACTCATTAGACCTTGACGAGGATCCTGAGGATATCAAGGACATCGACGAGTATTATGGGAGCAAGGACGACAATGACGCAGATCTCTAGAATAACACTTGTAATGTACATAGAGCTACAAACGAAGATGCACTGCATATTGAATAGTGACGGCTATGTAACGTGATGCAAGAAGTGAGAAATGGACAAGTAAGAAGACAAAAAAGTAACATGCAAGAGTAAAAACAACAATTTAAAACACACCAAATTCCCCCCTGGCAGCCTGAGCAAGAACAGGCTTTAAGTAGCGGACCCGTTTCTCAGGCTTTGCAGCCAAATAGATGCTACATATTGACGGGCTCCTGGAGAATACATTCATGAGTGTGATCTGCTCATCATCTGAGATGTCATCCTCTTCCTGCATGAAGTTCATTGCCTGCACCCTTTCCTCCGACACCCGAGTTTCATTTTCATCTGTGTTGGATGCTGACATGTGAAGGCTGTCAGTGAGGCGGTTGAGGGAACCTTAGAGGTTCATGAAGATGGCAGTGCTGGCAGCATCCTTTGCAGCCTTGGAACTCTTGCGACTCCTTGTGATATTACTGCTACTGTGCGTCGACAACCTCGGCTTTTTGTCGACATTGGGTGGAGCCATGGGCGATGCCATACTTTGAGTGGCACTGGCGGACGAGACCATATCAGAATGTGTGCGTTTACTGGTAGTAGAGGGTGTGACAGAAGAGGGGGGAGGGGGCATATTCATGGAACTTCCAGCAGCTGACTTGATCTGGTCCCATCCGACTTGCGGCACAACAGCGGCTTCAAGTCCAGAGGCGCTAAGACTCTCTGATGGCTGTATCGCTAACGATGAGGATCCACTGGCCTTGGCATTAGCAGCAGTTGTGGCCAAGGAAGCTGGGTTGTAGGCAGCTACCCCCCGAGCCACAAACATACCTTGTTTGAATTGCTAGCTTTGATATACTGGTTCCACTGGAGTTCCTCTGCTTCTGAGTCCCCCGAATATTAGCGCCATTGATATTGTCCCAGTGACATCCAGATTGACTCCTGCGATATGTGTCAATGGCGGTGTAGACTTCCTTCAGCTGTAGGGGTATTAATAATCAGTTAGTGATTCAACTAGGGAGTATGATACAAAAGACGCACTGATCGCCATTTTCCCCTGCACTGTGCCATGTCCTTTGCTGCACCTTGATTCTGAAGTCCCTTTTTAGCATGATGTTCTGTGATCTTCTGTGCTGCTTCATTGAAGGTCTCATCTTTGAAAGTTGTCACAGCGATCTTTGCCACCTGTGATTGAAGGTAGGTCAGGAGGACATCAACCTCCTCCTCACTCCACTGGGCTTTGGGTTTCGTGCTTTTCTTCTGAGTCATCAAGAAGAGTTGGAGCTGGGTATAAAGGACAATAGAAGCTGCAGCTGAGACAATCTGCCTTCACCGATAAGGGCTGATTCGACCTTGGACCTTGCAAGGAGTCGTCATAATTGGGAGGTAATAGTTATTGAAACTCCGTTGCAAACAGCTTCTGTGCCGCTCCAACGCATTCCCATACATAAACACAAACTTTGCTCAAACACCAGTTGCTGAACGGGCTCTTATGTGAGTACCATTTGCTGCCAGTGCATCTTGCTTAAATTGACTATCAAAACTTGACTTATCATAGTCAAGGCCACAAAAAGTCCAACTCCTGCTAACAATAGCTACATTTCTAGGGAATCATTTAACATTCTTAAGGAAGCAATACTGCACCTTATGATCAAGAGTCCTACTGATCAAAGAACAGCCAAAATGTACATGAGTAATCTTCAATTCATTCATTTGGCCTGCATATAATTTCAGTCCAAGTTAGGCTCTTGCATGTGATAACTTTTGTTGCTTCATTACCAGAGCTATTGATTCCCATGACTGCTGTAGGCAAAAACAATATAGAAGCTTTAGACAAAAAAATCTGCCTATGCAATGGAGGTTGTTCACATTGTTCTGGCCTCCATAAACAAAGGCCTTTCTGACTCAGATGAAGATAATGTGAAGATATGCTATTGTTTTACCTTGTAAATCAACAATTTGAGACCACACTCACTGCTGCTGCAAGAATCTATGATGAAGAATGGTGATGCAGACTAGCACATGCATACTAATTCATTTTCAACAGATGCGTTTCATTGTAATGCATATGAATTGATAGGGACTGAAGATAGAGACAGGAAGATTAGTCAAAGCCCAGATTGTACCTATGAACACAAGTACTGAAAGTCTGGAGAGGTGAGCCTAATTTGGCGAGTATGAAACAGACAAAACCATTGTGATATTCACCATATAAAATGCTCTTCAGTACTGCTGACATCAAAGCACTAATATCTGCAGTCCCAGGCTCAGAGATTCAAATCATGAAAAAGTGTCCAAACCAGTGCCTATAGTAACAAGGTAAGTGAAACTATATAAGGAATCTGTGGAGTGTAGAAGCAGCAGTATCAAACAGCACTGCCTGCACAGATACTGCACAGTAAGATTATGTCAGTGGAGATTGCTAGTGTGGTCCTGAAAAGAAGAGGAGAGGAGTAAGGTTTGATGTGAGATAATTGAATTAGCATTAGACATTGATGTTGAACATTAAACATTAACTCATGCTGAGTTTTGGACTTGGACAAAATTCTCAAGATACAATAATCATGGTCACTGTTTTTGCATATGACATTGTAAATTTTCATAGTTTGACAATATTGTCCACAACTAGCACTCTATACTTGCCTCACCCTCAACTGCCTTGGTTGAATTTCTGATTCATATCACTGCACTCACTAGTGATCTAGCTTACTCATCATTGTTCTCATTCTCATCTGTTTTTGCCTGCTTATTCTCATCTGCTGTTACCATTCTCATTTAATACCAGCTCTCAATGCTTGTTTGTTTTTATTTCAGTCATCAATGCACTGAGCCATCAAAACACATCAACTTGCTTATTGCACCTGATTGATGGTGCTTACATTTAATATGTATCTCAAAATCTCATTTCATCTGAGTCACTGAGCTGTTTCTGATAAGATAGTGTTGAACAAGGCCCTGGTCAACTCATGGTGACTACACTTGTAAGTCTTGACAAATTGCTAGTTGTGATACCCCTTCTGAGCAATGTCCTGCTGCCACCTTTGTAGCAAGTTTGTTTTATACTCAAACTATTTCCATGCTGCTGCCTCCTGGTGTCTTTCCAATGTTGAATGCATCCATGTTGTGCACCCATTTCGTCATACTGTTGTATTTGCTTTTCCTATCCTGTTTTCACTCATAACATTTTTTTCATCATTATCCACCTTCCTCTTTTATACTTCACATAATACCTTTTGACTGCTTTTTAACCAGGCATCTCAGAGCATGTTTCCAACTGTCTACACTGTTGCTATGGACTACCTCCTGATATAGGCATCCACTGTTCCATGCGAATGGGTGTTCTCATTGAGTAGCGAGATGTACACCAAGAAAAGGAATCGCCTCAGCCCAGTCCTGATGGAAGCATTGCAGATCATTAAGTTGATCCTGAAAAAGGAGAGACTTAACTTTATCAAAGGATGGGCGGCCTCACAGCAAGACATGGAATATATACTGTTACATGATACAGCATCCAACTCCAATGGGTTTTTCACTCTTAACACGACAGTTCTGTACATGATGCTCTTCTCAATGCTATTGCAGTCCAGGAGTGTGATGACATTGAAGATACTGCTATCATCTATGGCATATTACATTGATCATTCTCATCTTTGTCGGTTCTGGTCTTTTGTTTCTTGCTTCTTGCTTACCACTACCTTGTCTTAGTGGTTGTCCTTTTTATTATCTTTCCAGCATCGTGTTCATCATTAGATTGACTTCAATTTTTAAATTATTTCTTCTCTTGAATGCATCTTCCTGATGTATCCCATACAGCTGACATGACATAGTCCATTTCCCAAGGTACTCTTTGGTTGTCGTCTCTAAACAAAACAGGTTGCAGATAGCATCGAGGATGGTGAGGATGTGTGACCATTGAGATGGATTAAGTATCAGCTAATTTGCACCTATATCATCTGAACACACATACTAATGTCCTTTCCTGCAGATTGAAGTTTATGTCAATGTACCTGCTTCCACTAATACCAACAAGGAGTTTTTGTAGCTGAGTGTCTTTGAGCTCGAGCCATGCTGCTCGAAGTCATTATCTGCCTTTGCAGCTGTGAGTGTGTCGATCCTACTTCATGCTCAAACCATACTGATAGAAGTCATTGCCTACCATTTGCAGTCTGTGGGTGTGTTGATCCTCCTTTAACTTTGAGCTATGCTGATTGAAGTCATTCCCCACTGTCCACAGATGCAAGTGTCAATCCTCCTTCTATGTCGATCAAAATCATTCCCGACTGTCTGCAGGTGCAAGTGTGTCGATCCTACTTTGTGCTTGAGCCATACTGATAGAAGTCATTGCCCACCGTTCACAGTCTGTGGGTGTATCGATCCTCCTTTGACTTCGAGCCATGCTGCTTGAAGTCATTTCCCATTGTTCACAGCTGTGAGTATGTTAATAGTCATGTTGATCGAAATTGTTCCCCACCGTCTACAGGTGCAAGTGTGTCGACCCTTCTTTGAGTTCAAGCCATGCTGCTCAAAGTCATTGCCCACCCGGCATTGGCCACCGTTTGTTCACAGCATGTGAACACACTCACCCCCATAGGCATCCATAGTACATACCCTGCACATAAGTTTAACACTTATTGATAAAATGTAATGTAACAGTTCAATCATCCATGCAATTTCGACATCTACTCCTGCCCATCGTGACCTAGCATTTTCAATAACCAACATGGCCACCTCGATCTCCTTGGTGTTTGCACTCTTTCCCCTCCTGTTTGCCTTTGAGCAGCCATCTCAGCTCTTCGTTGTCCCTCAGCTTCTCTTTGGATTCTTTGCATGCAGCACTCCTCAGCCTTCTGTAACCTGGCTTGCTCTCGCAATTTTGTGCATGAATAGCACTGACGTATAGCTAACCTTTATTTTAGTTTTCATCAAATGTTAAAAGAATCACTCACATCATCTTGGGGAATTATTACTAGTTGTCCATTAGTTGTAGATGCAGAGTTTGTGCAATGAACACCATTTTTGGCTCTTGAGTGATAACTCTAATTTCTAATACATTTTTGTCAATATATATTTAAGCTGGTTCTAAGCCTTAAATTGACCTGACGGGCCTCGCAGGATTTAGGGAGGCATACAAACACCGGTGAAGCCAAAATTGGCTCCTCAACATGCCGAGGAGCCAGCTGTTAATGATGACTAATAGTATGATGTCACAGATAAGTACATATCTGAGCCCCAGACAAACGAAAAACTAAAGGAAATGGAAGGAACGGCCGCTATAATGACTATTAAATGGGGAGGGATATGGGAGGGATAACAGAAAAGAAAAGAAAGAAAAATAAAGAGATATAAATACAGATATGCCACATATTGCAGTAACATATCTCCGTATTATACGAGTGAACGGACGTGCATAATATCCCGTATGATACGGGCCAGCGGACCATGGGCCGAAGGTAGATATATCCTCGACTGTGACGGATGGGCTGGGAGTGTTATTATTCCCGATGGAGACGGGTTGGCCCAGGTGGGGAATATGTAAAGTAGATGGGTGGGCCGATGGACATGAATTTTCAATAGACGGATCGGCCGAGGTAGTTGGATATTATGTAGATGGGTATACCAAGGTAGATATGTATCAAATAGCCGGGTATATCAAGGGTGCTTGTTATCACATAGACAGGTGGGCCCAGATATATATCATATTAGACGGGTGGGCCGACGAATTAATATTATTTTGTAGACGGGTGGGCCGACGTATTGGTATTATTTTGTAGACGAGTGGGCCGAGGGAGCGGTGAAAGATTTATTATATACGGGTGGGCCAATGGTAGACATATATTGCATAGACGGGTAGGCCGACGTAGGGGTATATAATATAAACGGGTGGGCCCAGGAGAATGATAATTGTAGACATGATGGAGCTCAGCTAGTTGTATATCATGGAGGTAATAATTCAAAGTCATCTAATGATGTAGTATGGCATGGAGCCTTGCAAAGGGGTGAAGTGGAAACTCGAGCGAAGTGTACCGAGTTCTGAGACTTGGGTCTCGACAAATGAATATGTGATGTCCAGCACACTTCTGATCGTCTGGTATTTCATTGAGCAATATATGATAATAGATCTTTGAAAGCCAACATCATCCAAGCCTACCAAATGCCAAATGCCAAGTTCCAACTACCGAAAATCAAGTGAAGTGTACCAATATCCGAGCCCTGACTATCAAATCCCGACAATCGACCATTGAGTCCCGACTACCGATGAAGGATCTTCA